ATCGACAAAGTTCATTAAACTCAAGATAGTTCTTTCTTTACTCAGTAAAGGAATTTAAGAACTCATAGTGAGCACATTGCAACTCAGAAGACCTATAAACAGTGGCTGTCTGACTTCCTACAGTATTTCAGGTTTCAAAATCTTATAGCAGACATCCTTACCTGACATTCTGCCGCATCAGTTCTAAGATGCAAATGCCTAAAAAGTTAGAATATATTTAAAGCTGTGAACATACAAATGTGTGCATTTTGTGTGTATCAGAGAAAAGCCTGTGTTGATAGTATAGTTTGTTCCCCAAAACGCAGATGTTCATTGTTAGATCATGTCATACTTTTTACTAGTGTACATTTTGAAAGCAGGTCACTATTTTACCGTGTGAAATTACAGAAATGCAGATTGTGTCTATTGTTGTATGGAAGGCAGTATGTTCCTATGGACTGTGAACATACTCTGACGTGAACAAGAAGTCAGTGGGGACGGCCATACTTGAAGACACATGTTTTTTTTGTCTTGATTTTCCTCTTAAAATCCCTTCGGTCCTCACAACATAAAATTTAATAGGATGATTTTTCATCCATTTAATCTTAAATTCAGTAAGGAAGAATGACAATGAGTCATTATGGCAATTATTATTTTATCAAAAGAAAATGGTGAAGAAAACAATTTCATCCAATCATATGGAAATGAAAATTATTAAGACTGACGTGTCAAAATATTTACTAGGCTGAATAGTAAGCCCTCAGAGGGCATGTGGATTTAACAATACAAAGAGAATAAATCATTTCCATTTCTACCACAGAAGCTTTGATCTCTTAAAAATCAGCATATTATAGTATAATGCTTAAAAATTATTCATGACTTGAAGAAACAGGTCGTAGAGTGTTAATTCTTCCAAACAGAAAAAGAAGGATTCCACTCTTTTCCTTTCTCTTTTTAAAATAAACGAATACAGGAAGCAGGAAGGCACAGAAGCAGCACACGACAATGGGGACTGGTGGCCCTACACCTGTGAACATGTTCCAGAGCAAAGGGGAGCAAGTCCTTTTCCTATAAGGCAGCTTGTGAGGAGAAGGACTGTGAATAATCTCTTAAAGCTCAGGGATGCCACAACCTCTCCTTAGTCAACTTCAACAAAGCAGAAGACCCAGGTGAATCAGAGTAAATAATTGTAACTTGATAGGAAGATCATCCTCTGGCTATTATTATAAGAGCAGAAGGGGAAATGTCTATAAAGGTCAGCTGAAGTTTTCAAAAATGATTTTACCTGAAGGCAAATAGTTTACCTTTGAGAGCAAGATCTGTACTTACTTAGTCCTGTAGAGTCTCTTTTATCCGACACAGAGAAACCCACATTCTGACTTGAGCTAGGTATGATACATTTGTGGGAAACATGTCAACACCTCTCATATTTGTTGTGGAATATTAGATTCTACGAAAGATTCTATTGGTTAATCATTATTGCAATTGCAGTCTCAGAATTGTGTGACTGTAAGAAACCAAAATACTTTATAAAACGTAATACAGTGTCTTTGACCTTGCCTCTGTCTCGGTATGATCCTCGGGAGGCCAGTGTGTGTGTGGACTGGTTCAGTATCTGTGAAAAGGGAAGGGCACCTACCACACAGGTTGTTAGGAGAAACAAATGATGTAACTTACGTCAGGTACCTTTCAGAGCACCTGGTGCATCATTAGTTCTCAGTAAGTTTTATTACTGGTGGTGTGACTACATGTTCTGCACAGGTATTAAGAGAATAAATGGAGAGATGATTCCAAATGTTCAGAGTTGGTTAGAAGTTCAATTTTTAAGTGATAAAATACGCTGGCCCTCCCACCCTCCTCCCCACCACCAGTTCACTGCTCCTTACTCCCACGCCTTCTGGCCGCCCTCTCTCCCTTTGCCCTTCTGCGCTACTCAACCGGTGTTACCAGTTTCATGGGCATTTTTCCAGTGAAGTCATATTGTGTGCACAGACAAGTGCAAACATATCTGCATATAACAATAATTTATTTTTGGAACATTTATTCTTAAGCAGCCCTCCACCTGAAAGAGTAAAGAACCTCCTTTCAAGCTGATAATTGAAATGAAAAAATGAAGAGTCCCTTCCCTCCATGGTTGCCAATGGCAAGTTTTTCTACCCTGTGGAATCAAATGGTTACACCCTTCCTGATTTAACAGGATATAGAGGACATTAGCGTCCTTCTGATAGGTAGACACTGAGCCCATTCAGTGGAGTCACATGGAGCTCCTGACTGCATTCAGGAGGCCACTTTTATCTCCACCTAGAGACACGATCATTTAACTACTCAGGCCAAATATATGGGTGCCCAGAATCAACAACCAGTTCTCTTTTACATATTTTTATATGACTTAACTGACTGGTTCTAAATTAAATTGAAAGGGAATTCGAAACCTTAAGTGAGGAGCCATTGGTGTAAGACATCCTTCTCTAGCTGAGCAGGTACAGCGAAGAAGTCCAGAAACAGGACAGCTGCTGCTCTTTCCCTTCCTTTAAACATAGCCTTTGCCCCACACACATGAACCTAATCAAATCGTGATTTAGACCTTCCCATTGTGTCACTTAGAGCAAAAATGATTAGGTTAAAAGGGCATACTTGTGATCATCATGGTGCCTAAATAATGCGAGAATAGCATCTATAAATAATGCAGTGAGGGAATAAGCAGACGCAGTCACTCCTCACAAGCAGGTGACAGTGATTCTGACGTCCTTTGGCAGGCACATGTGGGTGACAGACCTGGTCTGCATATTATAGTCGGCCATTTTGGTTACATCTTCAGTTTAAAAGGGGAAAGAGATGTGCCAGTCCATCTGAAAGCCCTGCCTTTGGAAGCTCATTTTTTACCTGTGGTTACCTGCCAGAACAGTATTTGAGATTTGGTGTTACTTGGTGACCTCTTCTGCTGTGCATGTTACTGGTTTCTTCAACTGAATGGCTCTGTGGATTGAGTCTTGACAGGGAAAGAGCTTTTCCATTGGCCTTTATCAGTGTTGGGTATGTGTATGCTTTATAAATGAGAAGTATAGCTATCTCTAGGAGTTTCAGCTGACATCATCTTCTGTACGATTAGAATGTGACCACACTTTCAGTTCAGAAGACACCATCAGGACCTTGAGGCAAATTCATACGCTGGAAAAGCAGCCATATGCCATTGAAATCAGAATGTGGCAGCAGTCCAATTCAAGGAGCATTTGTGAGTTCCCATATTAATGTTAAATGCAAGTATCTTTGTTCATGCAACATTAGGTTACAAATGTGCACATGCCAAAATTGGGAAAAAGCAGAAAACAAGATTCTCATGGTGACATCTGTTCTCCACTATAGTCCATGTTCTATAATACAGTGCATGGTTTGAGGCCTGATTAGTTATGCAAACTCTTTGGTATGTGATGTGATTAAGAAGCTGAACTCCAGCATGTGGGGAGGCGAGGAATATGAAGCGAAGACGGTGCTGAGTTCAAACTGGTTCACTCCCGGTCTGAATTTTACTATAGGACTTTAGGCAAGCGATTAGCCGATCCAAGCCTCAGGCTTTCTGCAAACTAGAAGTAATAATGTGCCTTCTCCGTAGTTCACAGGTGAGGCAAAGATTATACTGGTGGAGTCTTCACAGAATGTTGAACTTCCATCATTAAAGTTAAAGGTAGTGGCTTTCTGTTATAGGGTAGGAAGTGGTGCATCAGGGACCAACTGGGACGTCTCAGCTTTGTGATTTACTACGTTAATTGACGTATCGAACATCAATGCATGTTTTCTCTCCTATGCCTGAAATTAGTGAAATTTTAATCAAATCAACAGATACTAATTGATTGTCTATTATAGTTAAGATCTGTGTAAAGACAGAGGATAGGAAGAGATGCTTTGAAAAATGACCAAGTTAGAACACAGGAGTAAAATATATACATGCAACCTACAGCAGGAGAGGAGACCTGTAACTAGAATATACTGCACTTCCACAGCAGACTATGGTAGTGCTGTCATATTTGCAAATTTACTATTTGGTTTCTCTATAGTTTGATTTGTAATGAAAATAGTGCATTGATATTTTTGCATTAGTTTGACTTCCTTTTGAAAATTTGAAAATTGAAATGGAAAGAAGATACCTTTTTTTAAAATGTAGGTTTCTCCTCGTTTTGCTCAACTACGTTGGCATTTGTATCCTTGTTTCTTCACAGACCCCTTGGCTATTGGATATTTGTATTTCTGGTGTGTGAGCCAAAAATCCATTTTTTACTCTTTTAATCCTGAAATGTCAAATAGAAATGACTTATATTTTTCATTTATTTATATTGATAATGGTAATGCCCTAACTTGTTCAGACTCCTTGTCAATAGGAGAAAATATGTTTATAATAAAATTAAATTTACATTAAACAGTAACTCCATTCTGTTCTTCAACAGAGACATTTGTGTTGAAAGCAGCTGATAAGGTGTTTTCTTCCGAGACCACAAAATGCCACGATGCCTGCTGCCTAAGAAAGAGAAAGGTTAACACATGACCTTGGCCTCCTTAGGACCCAATCTAAATTGAGGTCATTGACCTATAAAGATCTCAAAGCCAGCAGCTATCAGCCTTTTTCTACTTTGATCTAGAGATTAAAGAATCTTCACAAAGAAGAATGACCCATTCAGTGGACACACTAGAATTTCCTGCAGTAAGAGGGAAGCTACGAAGTGTATATCTTCCATGTTAGGTACCCTGGGTTCAGATCCTGGCTCATGTCTTACCAGCTACGTGAGAACACACTACTTCCTTAATCATTCTGAGCTTTGATTTCTCTCATCCATTAAATGAGGATGATAATGAGGCCATTCTGAACATGTTGTGAAGACTAAATGAAATAATGTGAAGGGACAGCCTTAGCACAGTGCCTGGAACAAAATAAGTGCTAAGTAAATCTTAGCCATGAATATATGAATCATTGATAATGACATTATTATGGAGATAGCCTATTTTATTTATTTAAAAAATAAACTGTTTGCCAGTTGTGTTACTTACCATATTGATAACAAATTACTAATGCTGCCAATCATTTTGACATACTTTCATAGGAAAATGCTAACGATCCTTTCCCATCTCTCCTAGCTAACAAGATTATTCCCCAATGGTCCCTACCTGGGGAAAAATAATTAAATAAACCAACAAACAGAAAACTCCACCATATAAAAATATAAAACTTCACTTAATCAAAATTGCATTTCTGGGTCAAAGAGGAAAATATCTGTGACTGGTGTTGCCTTAAAATGTTAAATTTGCCACACTTAACATAAATTTTATAATGTACTAAAACCCAGGGTCAAGGGAAAGGCAAAATAGAACAGTTATATTTTCTTTTAAAACAGAATTCAATAGATCAGGAGTAGAGAGAGAGGAGACTGAAAATTCAAAACTGGATGTAGTCACACATAGTATTGCAGTGTCTGGGAGCTGATAAGGCTTTAAGGAAATTTAGAAATCTTAAAGGAACAGATGATAAGATCCAGGCTTGTCCATAAGAAGAGGGGACTAGAATAATTGATAATATAAGTGCATGCCAATCTTAGTGAAGGGAGCTGCAGAATCCCTAGGGGGTTACTTGAATAATATTTGGAAACGACTGACTTGAATTTAAAAAGAAACATACTAAATGTTTTTTAAATACTGTATAGGTGTAATGAAAAGCATGCCATACAATTTTAGGAGTAAACAGGCATGACATTTTTAGCATTTTAGAATGTCTGAATTTTTTAGTATTTTAGGAAGTCTGAAATTTCATGCTTTAGAATATTTCAGGAAGGTCCAATACTTAACAACGGTGGTCTGCTACTTTTATGCATTCCTTCATTTATTCAATAAATTGATACTGAGCACTATTTCACAATAAACAAGAGAATACAGAGGGAATGCCCCTGTCTGCCCCAACAATGCTAATTTCCCTCAGGATGTTCTTACATAGGCCCATACTTTATAATAATTTGTAGAAGAAAACTCTTGGATTTAAAGATCCACCGTCACTGCCGACAGCGGTGGGACAGCTCCACGCTGGGATCCCTGTTCTTTCCCCCCACTGGGAAGAGCTGAAAGAGGAGTCATCCTAGGGTCTTACTCTGGGACAAGTGAAGACTGGCCTGAAAGGAGTTATGTAATTAAACTTTACATAATTGGTGCTCAGAGCCTTATATGCCCCAACCCGGCAGCAGTAAGGATGTAGGAAGGAGCCGAGAGGAAATCAGGCGCGAGACGAGGCAGAGGCGTGGGTCCCCGCCGCCTCCCGGCCTGAGTCCTGGAGGAAGCCCTGGGTTGCCCCCAGTAAAGCCCCCCTTTAAATGTATGTAATTACAGATGCTTATTCCTTACAGTTTGTGAATACCGGGAAAATTTAATGTAGAATAAATCGAGATTGTAGTAGAGAGATTTGTCACTGGCAGAATAAACCAGAACCCAGAGATTTTCTTCTTTGATCTTGTAGTAAAATACAATGAGTGGTGAGGGGTATGGGTTTTGGAGGCGGGCAGACCTGGATTTGGGATCGGCTGTCCCTTACCAGCTGGGTGACCTTGAATTCATTGTTCAACCTCCCTGAGTCTGACAAGCCTTTTTTTTGTGAAGTGGTAACAATAGTACCTAATGCCTAGTGCTGTATAAGGTTAAATATGTGTAAACTGCATAGTACAGTGCCTAGGACAAGAGTAAATCTTCCATAAATGTAAGCTGCTGTTTTAATTATGCATTATCTCCTTAGAGTACTTTTAATGACCTTGATATTGTTTTGCATAATGGAGATAAACTGCCACAGTGGGGTGAAACTTTTGTATACTTTAAGCCTTTATAGTCAGAATTATGCTCAGTTTAACCACAGTGACTTAACCAAATGGGGATTTTTTTCACCTAATACAGGAATTCAGAAACAGGTGGTACGGGGCTGGCGCAGCTGCGTGAGGACCTGGCCCCCTCCTGATTTTCTGCTCGCCACCCTTATCAGGTGGCTTTCATCTGCATGGTTGAAGAGGGTTGTTCTACCTCTAGACGTCCCAGGAAGAAGAGCCTGGTGAAAAGCCTTACAAGACTGGGGGTTTTTTGTTTTTGCTTTTTTCAGGAAATGGGGGAGTGTCGGAGACTCTCTCCCCCCAGGAACTCCCACCACCAACTCCTTGGCCAGGTCTGTGTTTCATGGCTCGCCTCTAAGGGCAGTGGAAGCTGGGGAAGGGAAGTGCCTGTTTTTATCTGGGCACATTGCCACCCTAAAAAAATAATTGCAGCTCCATTGGACATTGAGTAAGCAGTCGGCAGTGTCCGCCACCAAGCCAAAGGAAAGACACCACTCCCAGGCCCAGTGGTTTTCCAAGCACAATTTATGAATGTCCTCAACACTGGGACATCTGAGGGCATTCACGAAGATTTTAGGTCCTACCATCGTCGTTAAGAAGAGAGATGGTCACTGGTCTATGATAACTGGCAAGGTAACAACCAAAGTCCTTTAGGTGTGGCTCCCGAATCAACAGTGGCAGTTTGTTTCATCATCATACAAAATCAGTTGGCCCCTTAGTTCAACAGTCGTGATCTTGGTGATATGACTGTCTCATTTATTCTTTAAGCATGTATTCAGGATCCACTGATCATGGAAATACAAGTAGAGGAAAAATGTAGAAGCAGCATCCAAATCCCAGTGGACTTCTTTTTAAGGTTAAGTTATATAGAGGCGACAGACATCAGTCGGCCTAGCTTCTGGCATTGATGCCCTCTGTTTGGACCCTAGAAAAGTCCCCTGCAGCGCTCAGGTTCTGGGTGATCAGCTTCACTGGAATTAGGGTTGCTAAGTCTTAGCCATTTTCTATTACTGGAAGAATCAAGTTCTGTTTTTCTCCTATTGATTTAAAACGACCTGCATAAAAAAAAAAAAGATGTAGAAAACATTTATCATTCTTTACCAGTTTAACAGTTTACAAGTCCATCAGTAAAGATTCATTGAGGCTAACTGTTGCCCAGCATTAAGCAAAAAAAATGTCATCTAACTTTTCTGGGGGGATTCCAGGATGTTTACTAAGAACCAATTCCATAAACCCTATTGGCTGTAGGCTTTGGAGTTGATTTCTTATGGCTGAAGGAGCCTCAGTGAAACTATGAAGCAATCGCTTAAGGTCTTTGGGCCTGTTTCCTTGCAGGAAAGAAGAGAACATTAAAGAAGATAATCCCTAAGATTCCTCGCTGAATTAAGTTGTGGGGCAGGATGGAGACCTAGTTACTATGGAGACCTTAGTTCTGTTACTCAACCATGGGTGAGCTGTGGGCTACACTGGGGTGAGAGTGGTCCTGGAATTTCACACCTTGGTTTTATCTCCATAGACAAGGAGTTGGAGTCGAATAAATCTGAGTTCTGTCAAGTGGTTTGCTAGAGCTCCCTCCCAAATTCTAGCCGATGGGTTTATTGGAATTTTTTGGAGAAATACTTGATGGGTTTTACCTTCCCAGGCTCTATGCATGGACTTTGCTAAGTTTGTTAAGCATTGGCAGTTGGAAATGGGCCCAAAGAAGACCAAGGCTGTGAGCTCTTTGATGCCTATGAATCTCCATTTGGTGTTTTTGATTGGGCACAGATTGACAAAACCTGTTGCTAAATTCTGCTGTCTTAGCTGTTCATGGAACTGACATCTTGATTGGCAGAAAACTTCATACTTTGGGAGAGTGTTTGAGATGGTCCCTAAAGGGGATATGGTTACACCAAGACCTGCAGATAGGTGGTCAGAAGGAACCTAATAGATTTGTTGGACCTGCCAAGTTACCTCAAGTTTGAAGTGACCGTTAAAAAGAGCACCAGAGTAAAGCTGCTAACTCCTAAAGAGTCCTTTGCCACAGCTGACTTCTTAATTCTTGAGCAGCCCTCAGAAGGTGGCAGCTTGTTTTAAGCAGAGGCCCGAAAGAGTCCATAAAAGTCAAAGGACAGAGCCAGTAAGGATGGGACCTAACCCCAAAATTACATGGCCTTTCTGGAAATGACCTGATAGGTTTTAATCTGTCCAGGACTACTGACTCTAAATGCAGAGGATTTCAGAATTTCACTTGAGATATACCTCAAAACTCCCCAGGCTTGATAATGAAAGAAAGAAATGATAAAAAATACCATCTGCCACAGTGGAAAACCCAGGGCAGCGCCTGGACCTCTTCCTCACTGAGCAGCCAGTGCAGATTTAGTCACTCTGGACAGTTAGTTATGTGTTGAGGTCACATTTTGGCCAATCTTTTGCTTACGGCTTTAACCAAATAAAGCCTTCTCTCTCCGCATTTCTCTTGCCAAAGTCAGGTTGAGGGATGGTTCTTCGAGAGGGCTGTTTTGGCAGGAGGTACAGGGATCTCCTCACACAGCAAAACATAACCAACAAAGCTAAATGATTACCTGTCAGAGGCTAAATGATGTTAAAATTGAAAAGAAGCAAACTGAAAAATCCTCCTTTTATTTTTTTCCCTTCTTCTTGTTCTTTTTTTTTTTTTTTTCACCAAAAATGCTCCCCAAATGTCAGGGAAAGTCCAATGGAGTAATAACTAGCTTACCTGAGAAGGAGATTGGCTTTGAGGATTTCCCCATTTGATCTTTCTCTTGTTCCTTCTTTATTCTGACTCTCGACATATTATAACTTCTAACTTCTCTGTGGCTGGAAATTTTCTAGGCCAACACCTTCAAGAACGGAGACAGAAAGAAATCCTAGTGTCTGTGAATTGTTGCAAATCTGCACATGTCATCTTATAACCAAGAATATTAAACTTAGAGCCCAGAAGGAGAAGTAAAGTGCCTTCCTTGTTTGTTGTAGACTTTGGCATTGGTTCCGTAGGGCCTGGAGAAGCTTCGGAGAGGCCATGGGTCTAGGCTTTGCTCCCCCAGAGGTACTAGCTGGGTTACCTGGGGCAATTACTTCATTTCTCTGGACCTCGGTTCCCTTACATGTGAGAAAAGAACATTGAACAAGAGGATCATTAAGGTTCTCACTGAACAAAGATTTGGAGCAGGATAGAGACTTAAATACTATGAAAATCTTGATTCTGTTACTTAACACTGTTCAGTTTTGGGGTGTCTCGGGTGGGAGAGATCTTGGAATTCTATACTTCAGTTTCTTCCTCATGGAAATGAAGGTGTTGGATTCAAAGAAATATGAGTCCTCTACTCGATCTAGTGTTCTGTCAAGTCTGCCAAGCTTCCTCCCAAATTCTAGCAGATGGGTTTATTTCCTGGAAATCTTTAAAGAAGCACTTGGTGGGGTTTGTCTTCCCTGGCCCTGTGTATGAAATGAGCCTTGTCTGCTTGGCGCACAAAGTCCTAGGAGGCAGAGTTAGGCAGGCTGTCTCTGGGCCGTTAGGCCTCATCACTACAAACGAGGGGCCTCGGTTCACCGTACATAGGAAATGCTAAGAGCTTTGTATTGGGCCTGCTAAGGGGGATTCTCTTTATACTCTAGTCCTGTCTTCCCAACTTTTATTATTGGGATAGAAGTGCTATTTGTTTGATTTAATTTACTTCACTGGAAACAAAAACCTGTTTAAGGAAGAGGGAAAGCCCCAAATGACATTCAAAGCAAGGACCATAGGTGGGAAAGTAGAAAAGAATCTGATCAGGTAATACTGAGTAGCCAGAGATTTGTGCAAGTGATTTATGGAATCCCAGGAACCAGAATACGAGAGCATGAGGAGAAATAAAATACGCTGTAGGAGACAAAATTCTCTGAGGCTCTATAAAAAGATATCATTAGACAAGTATTCTTTTATAAAACAAATGGAGAAAATCCAAAAATTAAAAATCCAGCTCCTTAAAATAATGAAACAAAGGGATATGGAAATAAAGATGAAGAAAAGCAAAAGTTTTAAAAATAATACCTATATTCCAAGCTGATTCGTGACTTTTTCATGGACTGATTTAAAATCAGTTACTGCTATGTGGAATTTTCTGTTACCTATTATGCTTCAATTTAAAGTTTTTAAAAAGCAAATACCTTAATATTAAAAAAAAAATTTTAAGTAGAACAAAAGAAGATAATTAACATGGAACTATGCTCAGCTGGCTCTGTACTTACTGCTTTTAATACTGAATATGGAAACTTCCTCACATGATGCTACAGTTTTAAGATGAAGCTTGTCAAAGACCAGAATCTAACATCCAGGGTCCTAAGACCAAGTTTCCACTATAAAATAAGAACAGTATTTATTCTTTGTCTCATTTGGAACTTTTCATTTAGCCATTCATTTATTCAACAAATATGTGCTACATACTTCCTATATATCAGACACTGTGCTAATGCTGAGGATGTACAAATGATAATGCAGAACCCCTTCTCTCAGTGACTCCCATTCTGAGAGAGAAGGGAGGCCAGAGAATGAATGCATCTATTGAGCACTGCTGCCTGTTGGATTAGCTGGGTGCTTCCTATTAAAAAAAGAAAAATGTATGTAGTATATACATACATGATCATATATCATATGTGATCATTTTATTATATGTGATAAGAATGTGTGTATATATATATATATAAGATAATGTAAACAATATAAGAGGCAAAGTGGTACAATAGAAGTACTCAAAGAAGTGCTTTGGGACAGAGAACGGGAAATGGCTAATTCTGCCTGGGGGACTGGGGAAGGCTTCACCAAAGAGATGAAATCTGGGATAGGGCTTGAAGATGGGCTGGATTTGCTGTATGGAAGAAATGCTGTGGCGGGGAGTAGCTTCTGGTGGGGGGATAGTTGATTGAAAAGCATTGATGGCTCAAAAGGAACTAGCTTGTTCCCAAGAGGGTGAGTGGCTCACCCTGCTGAGTATCTGGGTGGTAGGAGGTAAAGTGGGGACCTCAAGGTGGGGGTGGGGGTTGGAGCTAGACTCTGAAGGACTCAAACGGCAGGTGTCAGAGCTTATTAAAAATCCAATAGGAAGAGTTTACATAAAAAATAGGTCAGTTGTAGCTTCCGCATTGTTGTCCACACTCATACAAAAATCGAAACACGGTATCTTCTGGTTAAACCTGCAGCACGTGACCGCAGTGGTAGCCCAGCCAGTTCATTCAGTTCCCAGGACAGAGCTGCAGCACGGTGCCGGGTCTGCGAACGCAGCTTTAAAATGCACACCCCGGGGACACTCGCTGCTGCCCCTGCACAGGTTTCCTTGGTTACAGTCCATATTGCTAGTGCATAGAGACTAGTACGGGCCCATGTATCTGTCTTTATAAATACTTCTTTATCAATAGGTTCCCAGTTTAACTGTTTTTAAGTATTTGCGATGATTTTCAATCATCAGGAACCGCAAAGTTGTGCTGCCCTGCCCCGGTGTGCGTCCTGGGGCAGCTGTGGCTGTGGGTGGCAGCTCTCGGCGGTCTTGTGGGCCACACCTGCTTCAAAAATGCAAAGCACAGATGTTTCAGAGCTCGACCTTGCTGGGTGTCCATCCCATTCAGCTCTCTCTCTAGAACTAGCTGGACAGCCTTTGGTGACTGATTGGAGGCTTTGAAAGAGAGAGGGAGGAATCAAAACAGATTCTGAGGCTTCTCACATGGCATTGGGTGGCATCGTCCACAGGAAATGTGCAAGCATGTGGCATCTGTCGAGCGCCATGTCAGCCCCGTGAGAGGCTGACGAGCAGGCCTTTGACTTTGGTACTCGTCTGTCAGAACAGTAATCCTCCCCCCACTGCCACCCTGCTCCGCTCAGCCAGTGTGACTGGGAGGCCCTGTGCCCGGTGGGAGAAGGCTACCAACGGCGGGCTTGTAGTCGCCTTGCTCCTGTGTGTGAAGTGCAAGTGGACAGCCTTGGGGAATGCAGACTGCAAGCAGAGAGAGCAGCCGTTCCTGGACAAGGCGTGGGGCCCTGGCAAGGGAGGTGGTGGCCAGAACTGGGTGCCCTCCAGTCGGCTCTGGCCTGCTTGGCCATGGCAGGAGGGTGTCCTTTCTGCTTAGCTGAAGCACAGTCTTCATAATTTTTTTTTGGTATCATTAATCTACAATTACATGAAGAACATTATGTTTGCTAGGCTCCCCCTTCACCAAGTCCCCCCAGTCTTCGTAATTTTAAGTTTTCTGAGATCAGTGGAGGGAATCAGCCTTTTTATAATGCTTCACCTTCTCGAGTGTGTGACTAATACTTGAAAGAATTAGTAACAGACTCCCTTATTTTGAATTGCATCTATTTGTTGAGTATGCGACCCAATTAATTCACTCTTGTGACTGTTGGAAGACTCTCTGCCCTCCTGACCTCTCCTTGTAATTATTACTGTCTTCCTCCTTTGAAACACTGTTTTGACTACACACGTAAAAGGCGCTCCTAAAATACCCGCGCATTGCTGTGGGCCGGAAATTCCCACTGACTAGACCCAAAGACAGTCCTCGGAGAGAGTGGTTCTCTTCCTCGGCACTTCAATGGCCTGTACCTTCCTTTTGACCTTCCCTTCCCGCGCCATTCTGCCCCTTCCCCTTCAAAGCTTTTTAGTCACACGTTCCTACGCTAATAAGAATAGCTCTTCTCCCAGAGGCGGGAAGAGCTATGTTTTCAAACACAGATAAATCAGTACATGCACCGGGATTGCTGGCCGGTGCCTCGTGCACTCAGGATCGCAGCGGCGCCGCCGGCCCCGCCCCCTTCCGCACACGTGTTCCTATTCTCTCTGCTCTTCCTTTGATGACGCCGCCTGGCAACTCTCTCTGCGTTCAAATGGAAATCGATCCATTTGACTTGGGAAGCAGTTCTAACCAAATCGTGTGAAGTAAAGCGCTTTGCTCTGATGTTGCCCCATCCAGTGGCCTGAGCGTTTTCACTTCCGTGGGTCTTAGGAAAAGTTCTTCCCACCACGACTTACACGGCGTGGTATCCGATTCTGGGAGGCAGTACCCACTGTGCTTGAGAAGATGCACAATAATTCCCTGAGATGTACAGAACAAGGTAAATTATGTGCCTTGTTCTTTAGAGTGAGACCCCCCGGGCTGTTAGTGACCCAGACAACAGGTCCTGCAGGACACGTCCCCTTCACTCCTCTCGGTGTCTCGCGATCACTGCTCTCCTTATATTACCGTGGAGCGACTGTTTGTATGATGCATTACAGTTCAATGTGAGGGAATATAGATGAGAAAATAAAGGTGATTCTATGCATAATGATGAGAAAATAAAAGTTTTTAAGATGACAAGAGAGTGTATTAAGGCCCACTCGTTACATTCATGGCTGGGAATCATTTCCCCAAATAAGGTGAGACCTGTGGGGAAATTCTAGCCGTGTGCTCTCGCATTAGGGAGTTTTAAGTGGAGCGGTACCTGAGTGTGCTCGGGCTGTTATAACAAAGTACAACAGACAGGCTAGCTTATAATAGCAAATTTATTTCCCACAGTTCTGGAGACTGGAAGAGGTCAGGGTGTCAGCAGGGGCAGGTTAGAACCTTCTTCCAAGTCACAGAATACCTACTTTTCTCTGTGTCCGATATGGCGAAAGGGGCAAGGGAGTTCTCTGGGGCCTCTCTAATAAGGGCACTAATCCCATTCTTCAGGGTACACTGTCATAACCTAATCACCTCCGGAGGCCTCCCCTCCTAACACCAGGATGTTGGTCGTTAAAATTGTGACATGAATTTGGATTGGGTGGGAGCACAGACATTTAGACCACAGCAAGCAGTATGCAGCTGCCATCACTGAGTCTGTGATGGTAGAAGATCTTCA